CGATCAGATAAGTATTACTATACATTATGTCCACATTATTCGGAACAATAATGAACTAACAACAAATTTCGAAATTCGTGAAACCTTTGTAGGTTTTTATAAATTAAAGGACAATTCAGCAGAAGATATGAATGATCAGGTAATGCAGATTCTGAAGGAAATGAATATTCCAATAGAAAAATTTTACGGGCAGGGTTACGACGGGGCTAATTTCATGAGTGGTGTGTATAATGGTGTACAAAAAAGAATTAAAAGAATCCAACCAATTGCATAGTATATGAACTTTGTCAGTCACAATCTCAACTTGGTAACTAATGACTGAGTTAATGGCTGCCGTGAAGTGTGTCATACTTTGCTACTCTTCAGAAAATATATATGTTTTTTTTGTAAACAGCATAAAGAGGTGGGATCTTCTATCTTTATTCACTGGCGAGTCAAATATTACATTAAAAAAGTTGAACCCGACTCGCTGGTCCAGTAGATTACAATCTTCAATAGTTGTTAAAGTTAGATATATTGACATATATTAAAAGCTTTGACTTAAATCAATCTGAAATCTAACCAAAAGGATAAGAGATATGAGGCTATCCACAAAAAAATAAGATGGCGACATTTGAATTTGTTTTTACCAATGTATTAGGTGATGTGAGAAATTATATATGCATCTAATACACTGCAGAAAAAAAATATTAACTTATATGAAGCTGCTCTTATATTAAATCGTGTTAGTGAAAATATTCTAGACTTTAAACTATTGTTTGAACAACTGAAATAAGAAGCTGAAGAACAAGCCAAAAAGAGGGGAATTGACACTAATTTTCAGGCAAAAAGACAACCGCGCAAAAAAAAACATTTTGATGAGTAGGTCTCAGGTTATCGTGTTGACGACAAGGAACAATTATTAAAAGTTGAAGTATTTTTTTTTTGTTTTAGACAAAATAAATGCTCAGATAAAGCAGCGTTTTATCCAATTTTATTACAATTTTAAACTGTTTTGGGTTTCTTGAACCTAAAAACATTGTTAGTTTACCAGAAGCAGAGCTTTTAATGTTATGCGCCTACCTCAAAAACAAATATCCTCTAAGTTTCAAATACAGTTTCTACACGCAATTTCCTTAATAGAAAAAGACTTTAATGAAAAAATGTCTACAAAAACCTTTTCAGAATTGCTCACAAAGTACAACTGCTTAGAAAGTCAATTTTTTGAAACCCTTACTGCTTTCTTGTTGTTTTTTACACTACCTGTTACAGTAGATACTGTCGAACGATCATTTAGCAAATTGAAAATTATAAAAGATTACAAAAGAAATTCTATTAGCCAAAGCAGATTATGCAATCTTGCAATACTAGCTATTGAACATAAAGAGGCAGCAAAACTAGATTATACAGATCTTGTCTGTCATTTTGCAAACGCAAAAGCGAGAAAGAAGAACTTTTAATTAGCAATATTTTAAACTTGTTAGTTTTAAGTTGTAATATAGTATTTTCATGAACAACTAGCTCAATTTTTAATTTTAATTTGATAAATTGTTCAAATATTTTATTGATTTTAAAAAAGAAACAAATGTAAAACTACTAATACAAAATTACGAACCCAATTTTACTTTAATAAATTACATTATGCCGAGTTAGGTCATGGGGGTGGGGACAAGGGGCCGACAACAGAGTGTTGCCTATGGGCCCAAATTTCTAGCTACGCCACTGGATCGAGAATTATATAAATGCTTGTCGCAGAAGATATTTTTGATTCAATTTGCTCAATATAACTTCTTCATGCCAAAGTTACAATTTGTTCGCCAAAAAACTTTTGATATATTTTCCTAAGGCTATTTGCTGGATATTGTCTAGGATTTGTTTTTTTAAAGAGTTTTGATTGCTTTGGCATGAGTACTCAGATAATTCTTTAAGAACCCTTCTACTGCTTCTTGTAACTGCTTCTTGTAACTGCTTCTTGTAACTGCTTCTTGCAACTGCTTCTTGTAACTGCTTCTTGTAACTGCTTCTTGTAACTGCTTCTTGTAACTGCTTCTTGTAACTGCTTCTTGTAACTGCTTCTTGTAACTGCTTCTTGTAACTGCTTCTTGTAACTGCTTCTTGTAACTGCTTCTTGTAACTGCTAAGGAAACTGTTTTGCAAAAGGGTAATTTTGAAAAGAGGCTTAAAAAATTTAAAAAAGAAGCTTACAAAGTTGTAAAATTGTATTCAAAGCAATCTATTTGTTGCCAAAATTATTGAAGATAATTTGTGATAATTGGAAATAATTGGAGATAATTGGAGATAAAACAGTGAGCTACAACAATCACTTTACGTTATTTGAAGAAAGACAAATTTTTTAATGCCGCATTCTTTGTTCTTTAGTTTCAAATCCTGTGTTACCAATATCAATGTCAATGTCAAAATTCTTTGACATCTAATCCAACTAGTTAATCCAACTGTATCTCCAAAGTTTTTGTTATTGTTTTTATCTATATATTTGTTATTGTTTTATATACATATTTATATATATTTTTATATATATTTTTGTTATTGTTTTTATCTATAATTTATCTACTTATATATTTTACAGGATTTAAAAGTCCTGTTAAATATATAAATAAAGATAAAAATAATAACAAAATGTTTAAATGTAAAAATGCATTTAATTTTAAAATGTAAGTTTACACATAAAATTGCATTTATACTTTAAAATGGAAAACTTTGTATTACAATTCAAAATGTTAAAATGTAAAATGTCAGAACAGATTAAAATTAAATTATTAGAAAATAATTTAGATAGTTATCAAAACTTGTTTCTATTGTTTCAAATTTATTCATAATAATCGCCTAACTAAAGAAGTTTTCATATTAATAATGGTAACAAAAATATAATATTAATTAGTAGAATATTTTTTTTTATTATTTATTATAGTTGACTTATCATTGTAGTTGTAAATTTCCATATAATGTATACAAACAGCGAGTAGGAAAAACACCCATATAAACAATCAGTTTTGTTAATATTTGTTTCAAATTATTTTCACAACTTGGAGTCTAGTTTACTTTTGAAAGAAATTAGAATGTATTTGAAAGTTATTTTCTCAGTTTAGTTCTTTCCAGAGTTTTGATGATCTATTTTACAAACGACAGTTTGGAACATACCCACATAAAAGATTTAATGCATTGTATGAGTTTGACATTTACTCAGAAAGACTTTAGTTTTAACATTATACAATATAGGTCTGTTGTGAAGAACAGCAACAAAAACTTTTACAAATCAAGATAACATCAATATACTGGTGAGATGTTATGGAGGACGAAATAATACTAAAAGTCTCTTTTAGGTTAGTTACCCATAATTTATGACGAATGAAAAAATTTTGATATGCAGAGAGTATATTATTATTATTGTTAAAAAATTTGTTCTTTACAATATTTTTAAATATTTTGCAGGCAAAGAGATAAATAGTTTTCAGCAAGTAATTTATCTCCCTATTTTTATAGATTAGACTATTATTTGCTGATTCCGCAAATTTAGACAATTATTTGCAGAGTCCGGTGAGACTTGTATAATCCACTCTACAGACCTAGAGTAAGGTGAATTTAGGAAGAACGAAAATATGTTATAATGAAAGACAGAAGTAATACGAACTCTTCCTCGACTTTCTTTGTCGTCCACACAGCCACAAAATAATAAAAGGTTTTGTGGTTTATCCTTCGTCAGCTAATTGTCTTGTGGAGGCCACATTACCTAGGTCCGCAGAGACTTATTTTGGCTCCTAAAGGAGTTTCATAACCCGCTCTACAGACCGAGAGTAAGATGAGTTTTGGAAGAACGAAAATATGTTAGAATGAAAGACAGAAGTAGTCGCGTTAGAAAGATAGCATAGAGCTTTTTGCTCATAATATTAGAAGCTTTTTGCTCATAATATTAGAAGAATTGCTCATAATATAAGAAGGTGCAATAGTGTTGTTAGTCGAACCGACAAAGACTTGGAGAGTTCACTTAACATGAACTCTTCCTCAACTTTCTTTGTCGTCCACAATATAATAAAATGGTGTCGTGGTTTACCCTCCGCCATCTAATTGCCTTGTGGAGGCCACATTACTAAGGTCTGCGGAGACTTGTTTCGGCTCCCTCTCTGCGTTTACGAACGCAGATATGTTAGAGTAAAAATAGAAGTAGTCGAGTTAGAAAGATAGCATAGAGTAAGCGGACAGGATTGCACACGATAATAGAGAGTGAAATACAAACTGTTTGGTTAGGTTGTGAAACGACTTAATTTCCCAGTCAGGTAAGTATAGTAAAATATAATAAGTATAATATAATTTAAAATACTATATACAATATAATGAAATAGTGCCAGTAAATATAGTGTCACAGAAGCTCTCTTCAAGACGAGTCATTTTATTAACATTTTTGCTTGTGGGTTTATAAAAACTCAAATAGCGTATATATTTTCAAAATCTTTTTTATACATAAAAAAAAAAATTTCAGTCTTTTAAAACTGACTTACACTTTTAAAACTGACTTATTCGGTAGTAACTTTTTCGTTTAAGTTCTCTTTAATGTTTAAAGAAATAATTTTCAAATACAATTTAAAACTTTTTTACTACAACTAATACATGACATTAATAGCACTATTACGGAGTCTTTAAAATGATTTGACTTTAAATAAAAAAAAAAATTTCGAAAAAGAGTTAATTTGAATTTAGTTGAGAAACGTAAGAAGGTTTTCATAAAGTAAGTGCGATATTGTGATTTATACTCCTCTAGCTAATTGCCTAGCGTAGTACCTCATACGATTGCGCGCACATTTAACCAGTATTCTCCTTTCTGAGTACCCTGGCCTTTGTACGAGTTGAGATTGTTAGGGAAAAAGAAGATATTTTAGTGAAAAGCAGATATATTAGAGTCAGAAAGATAGCATAGAGAAAGACAGATCGCTCATTTAAGAAATACTGGAACTAGAAAACGCCAAGGCCGATTAAGGACTAATATTTTTATTGTATGTTTTTTTTAGAACACGAAAATAAAGAAGATACTAAAAGTCGTACACATTTATTGTCTTTTTATGTCGTCAAGTACGTACGCGTTTTATAACGGAAATGAGAAATTTCAAACTAATACTTCTGAAAATATTTTAGTATTTTGGGGTCTTTATTAATTGTGGTTTCTAATTCTTTAAAAAAATTTTATATAAAAATCCATAACATAAATTTTGTTTGATATACCACTATATAAATCTTTTTTCAACCATTTTTTAAAACTATATTATTTTCTCAAGACACATGATTGTTCATGGACCAAGTCTTTAAATAAACATGCGGCTAAGTTGAGTTAAGCGATAAATTTTTTTACTGATTTTCCATGATTCATAATGTCTCACTATAGCGCGATCGGATAGCAATAAAATTTAGAAAATAAGATAGAATTTAACGCTTTTTTAACCTTTTTTAACGCTTTTTTAACGTTTTTTTAACATATATATATATATATATATATATATATATATATATATATATATATATATATATATATATATATATATATATATATATATATATATATATATATATATATATTTATATATATATATATATATATATATATATATATATATATATATATATATATACATATATACATATATATATATACATATATATATATATATATATATATATATATATATATATATATATATATATATATATATATATATATATATATATATATATATATATATATATATATATATATATATATATATATATATGTATATATATGTATATATATATATATATATATATATATATATATATATATATATATATATATATATATATATATATATATATATATATATATATATAATATAATAATATAGAAATTGCTGTACCAACTATTTAAGTTTGGTGAGTCCAAAACTACGTAGTGTATTGACTGTAACAGCCGTTAAATGTAAAATTTTAAAAATAGAATAAAAAGTTCCTAAATAAAATTTGGTATCAAAAGTTCAAAATTTTGTCTATTCTATTTTTGAACGTGTTTTTGTTTGCAGAATCGATTGCATCTTGTGACAATTTATTCCAATCGTCGACCACTCTATTTGTTAAATAATAATACCTGGATGATTTTTTAGTATATTGTCGATGAAGTCTTTTATTATGACGATATCTGGACATGTTGTTGTAAAATTTTAAAGGCTCTTTAAACCTTATATATTCAGTTGAATTATAATATTTTAAACATTTCTATTAAATCCCCCCTCTTCTCCTTTCTTGTTAAGGATGGTAAACCTAATATTTTTTTCCTTTCTTTAAAAAGTCACTGAAGTCATCGAATCACTGAAAAGCAGATGCTTTTCAGTGATTCGATCCTAATCGATCTACGCTGTACCTTTTCGAGTCTCTTAATGTCTTTAATACAATATGGGCTTCATACAGATGCTACATATTCAAGCTGTGGCCTAATTGTTAACTTGTATAACAGCTTCAAAATGGTAACATCAAGATGATTAAATCCATGTTTTAAAAAACCCAGTGTTCTATTTGCCTTATTTGCTACACTGATAATATGATTTTCCCATTTGAGATCATTTGATAATATTACACCTAAATCTCTTTCAACTTCTGTTTTTCTGCAAAATATGATCTCCTAATTTGTAACTAAACTGAGGATTCAAATTACTAATTTGCATTGTTTTACGCTTTTCTCCATTGAATTTAATTGACCACTTATTTGACCAGTCTAATAACTTATTTTAATCTTCTTGAAAGGAACTGCTGTTACTTACATTATTAATTACTGACATTATTTTTGTTTCATCTCCAAATAATTCTAATTTATTTAGTATGTTAACTTTCAATTTATAAATATTATAAACAGAAGTGAACCGAGGACTGAACCCTGGGGAACTCCACTTGTGACTTCCTGCTAATCTGAAACAAATTCACCTAGAAAAACTCGTTGTTTTCTATTACTGAGATAAATGATTTCATTGTAAGATATAAGAGTAAAAACCATAAACATAATTCTTGCAGCATAATTTCAATAAAGAAACGGAATCAAAGGCTTTTGCAAAGTCTAAAAACATTATATTAATATTAATACCAGCTTCTATTTTACTTGTTATAAAATCTAAAGTCTCTAATAAATTAGAACAACAACTTTTATCATTAACAAATCCGTGCTGTTCGCTTGCTATTAACTTATTTAAAGCTAAATGGTTCATTATAACATTGTGAATAATTTTCTCCATTACCTTGCATACCATTGATGTTATTGATATTGGTCGATAGTTTGAAGGATCTAGCTGATCTCCTTTCTTGAATAGTGGAATTATGTTTTCAGTTTACCATTCTTTTGGTATAACACCACTATAAAATGGCATTTTAAAGATCAGTGATAAGGGATGAGAAAGTGATTTTGAACATTCTTTGAGAACACGAGGATGAACTTTATCAACACAAATTGTTTTATTATCATTAAGGTTTACTAACTGATATTCAACATCATTATCATTAAAACTTGGATCTCTACAATAAAAATTACATTTTGAAAGAAAAGTTACATGCTCTAATACTTGATCTTTTAAAAATACTGAAACAAAATACTCGTTTAAACAATTTGCAATATCTACTTCTTTTGTTACAATTGTACCATCAAAAGTTTTGAGTGCTTTGATTGAATCTTTTATAACTATTTTACTATTTAAATAAACATAGACACTTTTAGGGTTTTTCTTTGAGTTTTTAGCCAGATTTAATTCAAGAGCTCTTATATCTTTTTTAACTCTTTTTTTTACATTTTTGTTCAATATTTTATAGTTGTTTACCATTTCAGTTTTTTTAAATCTTGAATGCCTGCATTTATACCATAACTTTTTCTATAACTTAACCATTTTTCGAAGCTCTTTAGTCATCCATATATACTAGCCCATATGGAGTCTTAAATGGGCTAGCCCTTGAATACAAAAGCCCACATAGACTCCACTTGGCCAAACCCATATGTGGGGCCCATATGGGTTTGGCCAAGTGGACTCTTTGTGGGCTTTATATATGGGTCCAAAATGGGCCGATATATAAAGAATATGTTCGCTGGATAATACTATAAAAGTTTTCAATAATTTTACTTTAAGCATTTTTGAGAGAACGAACTCTATCTTAAACTTTCAGTTGTTAGTAGACGAGTTTTGGGTTGTTCTGGGAATTTGATATTTTGTTTTTTTATGTGCTCTTTTTGCTTTTAATATTTCAGCTTTTATCGAAAGACTAAGACGATTGTAATATATTTTAAACTCGTTATTTTTCCATTTAGCAGATTTTTTGCTCGGATTAGATTTTTAATCTGTGGAATAACCCAAGAATCATACTTTTTTTATATTAATCCCTTTGTTTTAATAATCTTGGGAATAAAATATTTGCAAACAGTGCAATAGTTATTAAATTAGTAAATTTAACCTTTGTCAATTTATGCAATAAAGTTTGAAATCATAATTATCTTTATTGAAACTAAAAGATGGAAATTCACTTTCTGAAAACGGTTCTAAAACTGTAAATGATACTAAAATGACTCTTAATGTTATTTTCTAGTCTAACATTAGTTTAAAATAGAATTACTGGTGTAGTTAAATAGGAAATCCAACATATTATTTTAGGAACTATAGTATGTCGGGAAAGTAGGAAATGAGATATGATGTGTAAAGAGGCTATTCTTGAATAAATACAATTTGTATAAAGTTGCTATAAACAAAATACTGTAATCGTATAAATATTCGAGAAGTTGTAGAAGGTAGGATTGTTTTGGTTAAAAGATTTAGACCATTTTATAATTCGGTTTTGGTTAAAAGATTTAGACCATTTTATAATCCATCATTAGACCATTTTATAATCCGGTGGTTAAAATCACCGACAATCAAACAGTTCTCGTAGAGCTTCCTAATAAATCTATGAGCAAATTAAAAGAATTCAGCAACATGTTTTATTAAATTAACATTATTTGGTTTATATATTCACCTGATAAGTATGCTTTTATTGTTAACTTTTACAGATGCCCAACCTTATTCGAGAAGATTTTTATAGAATCGATTAACAGTTACTTGCGTCAATAATGTAGACTGCTACACCGCCACATCAATGTCCGTCTTAGCATTCTATACAATATCTATCAATATTTGGTTCTGAATCATTTTTAAACCATGCTTTGAAGACAGCAATAGCATGATAATCAAGCGTTCTATATTTGCAATTAAATCTGCTATTATATTATCAAGAGATGTTGCTTTAGAATAGTAACAAATGCTATAGTAACAGTTAATTAGTATGTTATTTTTTTGTGAAAATTTTTACGTTTAATTTAATTTTTTATATAATTACACAGAGCATTAAAATTATTTTTCTTGGTAAAATGTTATAACTATTTTACTTTTGTTCAACAAATTTGTCTGACTTTTTTATTTTTAGCAGTATAAACATAGCATTTATTAAAATGATATGTCTAGTAATACTATTTACAAGTATTTGAAAACTTTTGTCATTAAAAATTAGAGAGAGAGCCAATGTGTTTGACTTCTCTATTTTTTACTGGTATAAATAGAGCAACTTTTATAATTTATCTAATATTGAAGCCGTCTGGATAATATTTAGTGTTTGCTAAATTTATAACTAAACATTTTCTTTATTTTAACTTTATGTTTCTATTATTACTATTGTTTTGTGATTTCTACAAGTGACCAATTTCTCTATAACAAATTTCATTGCCATTTTTTATCTTCATCTGTTTATCTTTAATATACCTTTTTGTTGTTATTATTAGAAGAAATACTAATAATAATAACAATGTTATTGATATTGAGAAAATATAATAATATAGTAATATTAGTTATAACAAATAGGAAAATAAATAATTTTAAAAAATATAATAATAAAATTTTTAAAACATTTGTTTGCCAATTCGTATTATTTGATTAATTGTTGTATATTTTTTTATTTAGTTAATAACCTTTGATAGATTTTAATTTTTGATTAGCCAAACACATTGTTTTAAACTATGCTATAATTAAAATTTTATATTATATACTACTTTAATGTAGATAATGGCCTGAGGCAATTTTTCCGCAGTCTTGATTTATTTCACTGTTGACCGCGGGTGTCCAGAAGTTGCTGAATACAACAAATACTGTATTAAAAATAAAATAGGAGCAATTGGTGCTCTTTCTAAAGATGTTACGGATTGGTTTGCAGTCGAAGTATAAAGATGAACGTTTTTCTGCAATTGAGTCAAAAATTATGGAAACGAAAGAAAAAGAAATGTAAAAAGGAAAAGTAAAAGCTTGAGCTTATGTTTTAAACAAATT